GCTGACCTCCCTGGCGACGATTTGCTCCTTCAACAAGAGCTGCCAGAAGCTGGGTCTGTTGTGCCATCACTTCTGCCAGGTTCGGTGGTGGTGGTGGTGGAATGTTCTCCTCAGGTGGTGGAGTATTCTCCAGGTGGAAGGGTATCCCTCCACGTCCACGGCCACGGCCACGGCCACGGCCACGGTTGTTGCCACCACGGCCCCCATTTGGTTCGACTGGTTCGGGGGTGGGCACACGTCCACGGTTCATTAGGCGATTAGATCGGCGGTTCGGCATCTGCAACGCGGATCATAGGAATTTAGTGCTTGTGCCATAAGTGCTTATGATTTAAGGAAAACATTTATACTATCCAACACTCATTACAAAGAAGCAATAAGATCCATAAGATGCAATAAAATCCAAAACATTCATTACATGGGTTTTATTACATAGCATCATCTCCAGTAGCTACACTTAAAGACGTGCGAGAATCGTACTATGCATAATGTCTCATAATACATCTCATAAGGGGTACATCATGGGGTACAACTTACGGAAGCTACTGACTTGACTCATGACCACGCAGGGTCATCTATTCTAACTCATACACCGCAGCTGGGATACGGCTATTCTTGATCTCGATCTCCTCGTCAGACTTGTGAAGTCAGGACACGTACTTCAAGGCTTTGGCGAGCTCCTCAGTAGGCTTGGCTCCAGGTAGGGTAGGACAGGCGTCTAGGTTGAGGCGAGTCGGGGCTAACTCAAATTCCTCTATCCTAGGCTTCGTCTTGCTGTGAATCTCCTTGGGTAGCTGATCCCACATACCCTTCATCTCACTGAGGCGCTTCCTGTCAGACTTCTACCAAGCCTGCCAAGTCCTCTCACACTTGTCCTGTAGGTACTCGTTCTGCCTGAGTGCCTCGATCAGGTGACCCTGGTTGCGAACGGCCTTCTTCCTAAACTCCTCTAACTCCTGAGTCATGGTCCTGTTCTTGGAATGGATTTTTAGCGTATCAATCCCTTTGGACCTCTCTCTGTCTCCTCTACGGTTGAACTCGGCCTTCTTGTCGTCCAACTCTCTCTGCAACTCCAAGACCTTGCTGTCGAGGTAGCAGTTGTTGTTGCCTAGGTCGGCTGTCTTGTCCTGTAAGTCAGCGACTTCGGCTCTGTGGACTTCTTCACGATGGTTGAGCTCGTCCTGTAGCTAGGCAACTGTCTCCAGCAAACTAGCTCGCTCCTGTGCTCCCTGCGAGTCTCGCTCTTGGTACTCCCACAGAAGGGCCTGGTGCTGACGTCTCTTCTGCTCAAGCTAGGTCACGTACCTATCCTGCTCTAGTAGGTAGATAGCTGAGACGCGAAGGCATCGGTCCTCCTCAGCAAAGTTAACTCTGCCGGCTGTGAAACTCTGCTCACTGGGGGTAAGGCTGAGGTCGAGGGCCTAGGGAAGTAGACGGAACTCTGTCGTCTTCAGGTGCTCGTAGTGGTCCCTCATCACTCTGCGAAGTGCCTTGTGTGAGATAGCCTGTAGTCCCTCCTCGACTGTGTCCTCTATAGTCAACTCAGTGAAAGCTGGGACAGAAGGTAAGGTAGTGCTAGCTGGAAACTCGACTGAGGTGACAACTGGTCCTTCGATCCCTTCTCTCTGAGCTGGCTTCTCGGTGTAGGTGACCTTGACAAGCTCGTCGGGGATACCTATCGTGATGAGAACTCGGCAGAGGGTCTGTGCAAAACCCCCGAGCTCACGTAGGTCGAAGGTAAGCTTGGCGTGGTCCAGAGGTAGCAGTCCTAAAGGCGGCCAGTCGACGTTCGTTACCATCTGCATGTTTTAAGGGACATGTGTTAGCAGGTCATTAATAGATAAGCCTTGCATAAAAGTAAATGCAGGGTCGGTATATAACCGAAAGAAGGGCTGTCCACGTCCTATTTCTATCGTCCATTTCTAAGGGTTTCGTCCTATGGTTAAGTATGGCTCTGATACCAACTGAAACAACCCCGATTTCCACGATGGGAAATCCACAGAGTCGAAGTGTAATAAGACCGTGGTAGATCATATTACCCAAATTCCAGTCGATGATCACATCCATACATCGATAATATCAGAGTACAAATAGTGCGGAATTACATAAATTATTACATCGCCACATTGGCGGAATCAAAAGTAGCATTCATTCAGAACAGCATGAAGATAAGATCGCCAAACTCGAGCGTAGGAACGAATCCCTCAACCGTCAAACTCCTCGAAGCTATACTCCTCAGCAGAACCTGTGTGCCAAAATTTATCAGTACGATTTGTACTGGCCACTCCCAACCCTATGAGCATTGCTTTGTGGAAGTTGGATGCAAGTTGGATATAATCAAAGGAACCTATATGGCTGGGGTTTCCTATGCATTAGTATATAATAGTGGTTGGTCAAGTTTTAACACCATTCCCACACACATTACACCCCGTTCCCATTCTAGAGCCAGGTTTCGATCCTAGGATCGATAAACCACCATCCCCACACCATCATCTTACCACAGCCATACCATCGCTCAGTCGACAAGCCAACTCCCTCTCGGCTCTGTCTCAAGGCCCGTAGCCCCTGGCTACGTCCAGACACTCATTCCCAGGGGGAGAAAAGAAGGACTCATCTCATATCTAGTTTAAGCGAAACCCAGGAAAGGTCCATAGCCGACAAGTCGGCACATGTATCGATCGATCAACCATACACTCTGTAGAGGTTTTACATAACCACAAGATCCGCCTTCCTCGCTGACCGTCGTCAACTGGGCTGATTCCGGCCGCTTGCTAGCCTAGGATAATGCCACTCTACCATTCAGCCCTGGTACACCCCAAGTCTAATCTGGGGTGGCTGAAACTGTGAGTCATGAGCCGGGTCCACAAGGTATCCATGAAGTCTCGAAAGGGTGTGGGGGAAATCCTCCGTGCCCCGTACCTCCCTTGCACTGTCCGCTATCAACCTAGCAGTAGTGGCAATATCCTACCAAGTAGTCCGGCCGTCCCGCACCATATAGGGCGAGTGGTACGTAAGGCTTCCTGGTGAATCTGAGTACTAGTAAGTCCTTAGGGATGACCAAGCCAGAATGTCTTCATCAGGGTTTCCATTTACCGTGCCACCACAACACCTCCATCTCGGGCTCCTCCCATCACAGGTTCACACCCAGGACCACCTCATATACCATTTACCCACCATAGGTATCCATTCCAGGGGTGCCCAGGTAGCATTCCACGGCAAGACTTGCCCCAGGCTCGTCGTATACTCCAACTTGGTCGACACAACCCTCACCCTCCACGCACCCAAGTCACACACGCAGCACTCTCCCCATAGTCTAGAAAACACCAGTTTTCCACCATGCATTAATGTAGTGCAGGCATAGTAGAAGTATTAGGCAACAAAATATAGTGGCGAGCGTGTGACTAGCCTAACAGCGGGGTGAGCAAGGGTAAGGTTGCGTCAAGGTAAAGGCCATCAAGAAAGCATACTACCATGCAAGTCCTATCATGGCATGATAACAACAAGGTAGAGCAATAGCAGTTCTATGTTAGCCATGCGTAACAGGTGCTACGAAATTGGGTGGGATGTGGCACCTTCAGTGTAGTCGTCTCCATATTCCTCGCGGTACTCACGATCCTCGTCCGTCAGGTTCTCCTCCGAGTCTGTAAATGATCGTATTATAGTCGCGTTAGCGACATCTATAAAGTAGCACAAAGAAGCAATGAAAATCCAAAAGAGCCAGATGCACTCAAACATGGGTTCATCGCATGGAGCTCGCTTCTAGATGAATTTTGGTTCTTGGTCTTGTATTTTGCTGAGTTTGTATGAATCAATTATGAATTTCCAAAGTTC